TTAGATTTATAAAGGAACTGTACTATTGAGGGCTATTAAACTGGGCCATACAATAGGACTATTAATATAATATAAATATGCTTTTCGAAACTAATTAAAATCATAATCATAGGGGCACACCTTAGTCAAGTCATTGATTATGTGAAAAACATAAACAAGATCAGTGGGGCTGCCACATGAACTAATGGCGGTTCAATACCCGGGTATGATAATTGTTTTTTAATTTTTTATTCCAAAAATGCAAAATTAAACTCTTGAAATAACTCGCGACATCATGAATTCACGACCTTCTATTAAAAAGAAACGACATATAGTATCTTATAATAATTGGCATGGTACATTGAGTATGATAAATCTAGATTAGGATTAACATGAATTGAGATTGGAAAAGTAAAAATGAAATTGAAAAAATAAGACTATTTGGTACAACAAATCTCACTTCTTTAAAATATTGTTTCATCAAAATTGGTGAACTCGTTTCTACTTTTATACCCATGGAACTCACTTTTTTCCTCCACTTCCTTCATAAAAAAAAAAAATGACTTACTTTCACATGCACACCCAAACAGGTTTCAAAATTCCATTTCTATTGCACTTTTTCAAACTATCAAACAAGATAAGGTAAGAATTGAGCTAACTTGGGTCATATAAGTTAAAAAAAAAATGAATGAATTAGATTTAACTTATCTTTACATGAGTTAAAAAAATTTTAATTCAATTCTTAAAAGTTAGCGGATTAAATGGGCTAGTTAACTAACCCATTATTTTTTTAAGATTTTTTTCTTGAATTAAAAAAAACCTAAATGAATGAATTTCAATTTGATATTCCTTCATAATTTTTTAGATAATCAAAATATAATCTAAATGTGTGTACAAATATATGAATTGATCAAGCTAAGTAAATTATACTCAATATGGCATATACCCACAAAATTCTCATTTTTTCCTCTTTATATGATATGGAAAAAAAAAACTCACTTTTATTTGGATCTTTTTTTTTTCAACTTGATCCGATCTTTCTAACCGATTATTCAAGCTAACCAACATAACTTATCCATATTACTGTCTCATGATCAAGGTATAAAAGAAATAGAGTTGCAAGGTGGGGTCAGGTGGAAAATAAAGTTAAATATGGAGTAATTAATAATGAATGAACGTGGACGAAGCAAAGAATAAATAGGAAGAAGAAACGAAATGACGTGCATGGAGATCCACGCTAGGTTGTTTTTGTTGTTAAAGAAAAATCCCATGAAGCCAAAGTCAATGTGGTTAGACTTTGTTTAATTTAATCAATCTTGTTCATTATTTGTTCGTCAGATTCTAATTTTGTTTTTTAATTAAATACCAAACCCATGGCATCACTGAACGGCACTTGCCTAGCCTTCAGAGTTTGTGTCTACCCTATATTTTGTGTGAAACTTAGCTTAAATATTGCTATTTATAATTTACAAATCGGTTGGAATCCAACAACTTAAACGCAAAAGTTATAATATAATGGTACATAAATTTACTTGATCATAAATTTATTGATGCGGCAGGGTCGAGACTTGAGAACGTAAATAATTAATGTTTATACGACAAGAGGTCTCTTTTGATAAAGTAATGTCTACACCATAAATAGGTTCCGTTTCATTATATATAGAGATATATTATTAGGTAAATGGTTAAGAACATTGTGGCTAATGTAAGTATGAAAAATGTGGGGCCATATGGTTGGCCTGAGTTGAAAAAAAATGGTTTCCTAGAGACGAAACATCGTGGTGTTGTGTGTGTGTGTTGGTGGTCATGGGATTAATCAGCTTAGTGGCGACTACTAATAGGAGGATTAATATCAATACCACAGGATTGGGATGTCACTGTCATATTGAAGGACATGGTCATAAAAGTCACGAGTGAGTCCACTCTACTTCAAATACCACTTTGACTGAATTCAGATGTGTGCGTGTGTCCATGTATTGCTTCCTGAGAAAATGACAATATAATTTTATCAAAATATATAAATAATAAGCAGGTATGGCGAAGTATTATAATTTTTTTAAAATCCTTAAAATACCTTTTTAATATTAATGTTTTTTATTTAAATGACCAAAATTTTTTTATTTAAAATAAAATAACAGTTCTAACTTTATCTTTTCAATTACAGCTTTTATTAGGTGAATTATAAAATTAAAGGAAAAATTATAACTTTTCAAATAAAATTTCTTTATAATTGATAAATAATTTTAAAAAATAATTAATTTCAATCATACTTTAATTAGTAAATAATAAAAATTGAATAAAAAATCATAATTTTTTACTTGAAGTTTCTTTTATATGAAGTCAAATTCTAAAAATAATTTTTATTTAAGCAATTACAACTTTTATTATATAAATTGTAAAAAATGAACAAGAAATCATAACTTTTCATGTGAACTCATTATTTTTTTATTTTAAATAATGGACAATTTAGTCATTTAATATAAAATTATTAATGTAAAAAAATACCCAAAATTTTAAAAAAGTTGATATTTTAAGAGACTCGATTACCATTTATATATTTTGATAAAATTTTGATTATCACTTTTTAACTAGTTTTTTTTGAGGATTTATTTAGTACACACAATAAAAATTAAATGAAAAAAAATAAAGCACATAAGATTTTGTTTTTTTAAATGGAAATAGCGATTTGAATACCGCATTTTGACCAATCATAGAAGATTCAACAACTTTTTTTTTTTTTTATTTTGGCTTGAGCCCTTTGTCTTTAAAAGAAAGAATATGAATGGAACCCCCATCATTTCTAAATGCAATCACATCGCTTTCTTAAGATAATATTTGGATCGGTAGACTTCAACCTAAATCTCACATTTAAAATTCATATATTTAAAATTAAAAATTTTTATAAATCCAAATATAGTGAATAAAATCCCCTCCAATACAATCATCAATTTAACGCATTATTGTCATAAAATACTCTTTTTATCGCTAATGGAGATAATGAATAAAGGACAAAATAGAAAATAGATTAATGTTTATACTCTTTTTATCGCTAATGGAGATAGATGAATAAAGGACAAAATAGAAAATAGATTAATGTTTTGATGTAAATTTTAAATTAACAATCATTTCATAAAAACTAGAAAAAATCTAAATTAACAAATATTTTGAAACGTAATGAGCACGTAATCTGGATCGGATTGTCTCCACTTCAAGAGCGGCCCTCTTCCTCGCCACTTTGTTAGCGTTTATAGTTTCAATAAATACATATAATTGACCTATCGGAGTGTTACCAAATCCAGGAGAAGCAGAAGCAATAGCAAACGGAAAATATAGACCACAATTAGAAAAGGATTCATAATTTAGAGCATTTAAAGAAAACCAGAAGTGTTGAAGGGGAGATGAGGATAATTTATAGTATATTAAAAAAACAAAACAAATATAGTATAATATATTTACAACACTTCAAAATGAAGCGCCGCTACGAGACAACCGCGTCTTTGGGAACCAGTCCTACTTTTGGGAGACAATGCCATTGTTTTATTAACATACTATTGTATATAAATAATAAATATACGATACTATGGAGACAAATATTTCTCATCATCATAAAACTTCTCCACTTGATTAAAATATATATTCCGTTGATAAAACGAAATATCACAACAGATTAACTTACCTGAATGAGCTGCAAAATTTATCACGGTTATCAACATTCTCCCAAAAACCTAAAAAATGAAATTCAGAAGTTTGCGGAGAATTATAATCTTAATCTATAAATAGTTCAAAGTTATAAGAAAAAAAAAGAAAGCAATTTAACCTGATGAAAATAAAATACATAATCATAATAAATTTGTAATTACTGATTCGTTTTTAATTCTTTTTTTCCTCAAACTTTCTCGTGGGCTACTGCTCACTGCTAAAAGCTGTCAAATATAACTTGAGATTGAGAAAGCCATCTTCATTGATCATCTGAACCAAATCTCATGAGACACAGTATCAACACGTATAACAGCTTGGATCATCACTTTACTGAAATTCTTCATTGACGTGAGATACTACCCCTTCAAACTAAGAAGAAACCTGCTTATTTTGACTAGAGGGCAGAGAAGCAGACCAAAAAACTTCCATGTGGCTCTCAAGTTGTCAGATCTGAACAGAGTTGACTAATCAATGAGCTGGAACTACAGAGACCAACAGATGGCCTAAGCTTGCTCTATACAAATACATAAACACCTCAAACACAATAACACCTTTTTTATACGCTTGCCTGCGTGATCAAATCTACCTAAGAATCTTTCTCCATGACCAACAGTAGCTAATTCTTGGTAAATAGAATTTCAATTTTGTGAAAAGTGAGATTAAAAATGAGAAATGCTTTCCAATGTGAAAAAGAGAGAATGAAGCTGGAGAGCGAGAGAGAAGAGAGAGAGAGAGAGAGAGTGGAAGACAGGATGAGTGAAATGAGATGAGTCATTATACAAATTCCTAATCCACGGTATCACTTGACGTACTTAAAAGAAATCAAGTTACATAACCTCCTGAACTATTTATTGTAATCCAACAATGCCACTGCACGTCTGCACCCAAATGCTCCGATCAAACTTATTTCGTTCCCTGACCCATATTCTTTTCATTTACAACAAAAAAACTAAGGACAACGGTAATTCAATCAAAGTGAACATGCTATAAGCCACCTGCATCTTACAACCGCGATTCACTGATACTTCTGGTAAAGTCGTATAAACAGAAGCATGTAGAACTTCGCACTTGATCCAGCCTCCCTGAAGCTTATCTTAGACTGACAAATCAAAACACCACCAAGATGCAAAAACCAAGGAATAATTTCTAGCCAATTGTATTTTAAAAGATGAGTACCGAATGAATAGCACTGCTTAAGTTATTTCGAAACTGCACTAACAGATCTTGAAAGTCCAACTGTGTGATTTTAAAACAAGTCAGTCTTGTTGCTCCACAAGGATTTGGTAAGCGCCAAAAGCAGTTGCGTTTTGAAAGGTTTGAAAGGGATTTGATAGTTATTGGCTTTCAGTAGTACAGGCATTATGTGCATTAAAGTAGTCCTTGTAATCTGACAACTAACTTTCTGAATGGTTGGTATCCTATTCTTGAGTTAAGAGTAAGCGTATTATTCAAGCAAAAAGACCTGTAGAAGGAACCAAGAAAATATAGACGATACCACACCAATGCCAATGAGCAAATTGATGATGTAGCGGGTAAACAATCATAGAACGTGTCCTCACATAACAAGGATTTATAAGAAACAAACGAGGCTCAGGTTTCTCACCAGAGGAATGCCCTTGGCAGCTCTAGCAGCCAGGTATGCACAAGGCTTGAAAAATTCTCCGTAAGACTTTGACCATTCCTCTAATCTTGAGTATATGTATTTGGATCCAAGTGAATCAGCCCAGAACATAATACCTCCCCTAATAAAGATAATCTCATAAGTCATGACAAGAATTACAAACTCGAGGAAACAGTTTGCCAACTAATTTGAAGTGACAAACCAGTATGGTGGGAACCCCATGCCCATGACAGCTGATATATCAAGATCTGCCGCTTTGACGGCATACCTTCATCAAGTACCCGACATGCCTCATTCACCACAGGAAAGAAAATCATCTCTATGATGTCCTTCATAGGTAACTTGACAAGCTGTCCAAATCCAGATCCACAAAAGTCATTTCCAGTAAGGTTTATCATCAAACAAAACTTCTTTTGTTTCAACTTATTTCGCGAAAAAAATCACTTAATTTTTCTAAATCTATTTCATGAGTTTTAATGATGCTTATTTAAAAATAATGAGAATTTGACAAAAGCAAATCTCTAATTATTTTAGAAAGTTACTTTGAGTAACTCATGAAAATAATCTGATGTGGTAGATGAAAGATAATATTTTAAAAAGACGAGATACGTGAAGATATCATAAAAGTTTAAAATAATTAAATAATAATCATTTTTAGAAAACAAAAATAAAAAAGATATTATAAATTTTTTAAAAAAATAACTAATAATCACTTTTAATTAAGGTAACCAAACATAAAATAGCATCTGCCTTTTATAAAACCTCCACAAAATAAATATCTTTTTATAAAATCTCTAAACTATCCAAAAATCACTTATTTTTTAATCTTAAACGAATGAGCCCATAGTATAATTTACAGCTAGGATAGAAAAAAGACCTTAGGATCAACATTGACACCAGAAAAAGCTCCTAGCCTTCTCAATGTAATTCTTTAACTCAGGATCAGGACGAGCCTTGCGCTTATCATCATACAAGTAAAAGCCTTTGCGAGTGGTTTCACCTGTTGAACCACAGGATTATTGATCCATTTTCGTATTTACATTCCAGACAAAGACTTGCTAAGAAATTAATACTAGAAGATATGAAAGAAATGAGAATTGATCTGTACCAGCTCTCTTATCCTCTTGCATAAGTGGAATAAGCATTGATTTATAAGTTCTCTCAGGAAAGGTCTCAATAAACTGCATTCCAGTTGCAATCGCCACGCCAAAGCCAACCAGGTCAGCCAATCTGCATAAAAATATTGACAACTTAGAGCTTTCAAGAAGCAACCATTGATAGCATGGTCGCATCAGAGCATAAGTACCTAAAAGGCCCCATGGCATTCCAAATTTCGTTATTGCCTTGTCAATCTGATAGACATCTGCACCGTGTTCAACAAGCAAGATAGCTGCTTGCGTATAAGGGAAGAACATCCTATTAACAGCAAAGCCTGTACAGTTTCCCACCACAACAGGAGTTTTCTTTATCTTTCTCGCAACATCTAGCAAGTCAACAATTACTTGGGGAGAGGTCTGCTTAGTACGCACAATTTCCAGAAGTGGCATGACATGTGCTGGACTGCATTAGCACAAGTTAAATTGTTTGATCAGAAAGCCAATGAAGAACCAAAAAAATAACAATAGTATACACATGCATGATACTACCTAAAGAAATGAGCTCCAACAATACGATCTTGAGACCTGGTCTTCTCTCCAATTAGATTCAAGTCAATTGTGGAAGTGTTACTTGCTAATATACAGTGAGGTGCACAGTACTTTTCAAGATCAGCAAAGATCTGTTGCTTTAAAGAAACATTCTCAATAACAGCCTGTTCAAACATCCAATATGCAGAATGTATAATTTGTCCACAGTTTACATAAAGTCAAACCATTATCAACAAGAAAATTGACACTACCTCTATCACCAAGTCTACATCTCTGAAGCTCTGATAATCAAGGACACCTTTAAGAAGAGAGAGGGTCTTTTCAAATTTTTCTTGAGTCATACTCCCTTTTCTGACACGGCTCTGTAAATTTGCTGGACAAAGAGGAACGAACGCTACATGAGAAAATCATAACTCAAAACAATAAAGAATTTTGTTAAAGTTGAAATTTGAGCAATGAGAAGAGAACCAATTTAAGTGAACTAAGTCTACACTCTAACCTTTAACCCTGTTAACACCTGCATCCAAGAACTTCTCATTTACTTCCTTCAAGATTACAGGATAGTTACTAAGAATTAGTGCTGTTGCTATCCCAGAACCCATTAATCCTCCCCAAGGATGGCAACCTTTCTCACTTGTCTTGGTACCAGACCACGGTCAGTAATCCCAGGTACCTGTCCACACCAAGTATTCAGAATTTGTACACAGAAATTTACAAGAAAAGCTCTCAGAGACAATCTGTCTATATTCTGGATTCACAAACACCATATTACCTTTACTAAAACAAAATCTCAAGCCAGTGCAAATTACTTAACAAAGTTGCAGCATTAACTATATGCATAGGTTCAAGATGAGTCATAATTCATACATTTCAACGTCTACAATTTCAAAACAAAAGGCATTGAGAAAATAATTGAAACAGTGTTTATATGAAAAATTGGATCTATCAACATCACTAAAAGTAAGGCAGGCATAAGATATAAAAATATATATATATGTAAAATCTACAAATCGATTAGAAGTCTAAAACTAAAACACTAAAATGCATAGAGAGTATTAAATTCCAAAACTTCCATCAACTTCAATGAAACATACTATCAAATGGCATTAATTCAACAAAACCGAAGTCCAAAGCATGATTTTGGGAAATCTCAAACTAAGAACTTAAAAAGTGAAGACTGTATTACATTTTAAAATTTCCATTAAATTTAATACAGCATATATCAAATGGTAATTCTCAAGAATCAAAGTCCAAAAGCTAGTAAGTTAACTTTATCCTCTTTTCCTCTTAATAACCAGTAAAACTCAGCTCACAAAGGAAGAAAAATAGGGGATATGATCCAGACACTACTTCAACAAACCTTAGATGTTCCTCGTTGGGCAAAAAATACATGAATCAAGCTCTTTGAAGTATCTGACTGCACCAGGCTGTCAAAGGCTTCAGCTTCCTGTCCATATCAGACTCAATATCACACATACCTGTAACAACAATATGAAGAGAAGGAATTTATTGAGACAGATGAAAACCTTCCATAGACCAGCACGAGGACCAGAAACTATTCCCTCTTCAATGACATCAATGCAAACCAAAGGGTGTACAAGATTTGGTGCTCGTTTTTTAGTTTGACTCCTTGCAAACTTGAATATCTCCCTTGCTTCCCCAAGGGGTTCAATTTTATCAGTCTTGTAGAGACTGGCAACCCATGGCCTTCGGCATTCCAGGATATCCAGGGCCCACTGACGTGCTGTGTTCACCAATTCATTGGGTGACACTACAGCATCTACAAGCCCCAAACTATAAGCTTCCTCCCCTTTGACAGGCTTTGATGTCTTAAATCACGAAATCAGCGAAATGATAGAGAAATTAATAGAAAGTCATGGGATAAGCACATTGATATGATTACTTGTTAATTTAATATTTCTTTATATATATGACGTAAAAAACAATCATAGGACACAGCATACCAGCATCATCTCAAGGGCCTTTGTCAAACCAACTAGACGGGGAAGACGCTGTGTTCCTAGGACAATTTATCAACTCCAGGTTAGTAATAGAAAAGAAAATGGCAAGAACAATTATCAATTGAATTTTATCATGAACTAATGCTTATTCAGAGCATTGTAGCTAGACTAGCTAGTACTGTTATTCAAGGCCTAACTCACAAAAGCTATTGAACCATGATATCTATTATGGATCCTCACTGTCCAAAGCATTGTTAAAGCTGATATTGTAAGTAGGTTTCCATCTTTAGAGTTCAAAGTCTACTAAAAATAATACAAATTATTTACATTGTTTAATTGATACAAAGTAAAAAATTTTTACACGAAAATGAAAAAATTGTCAATGAAAAAACTACTAATTTTTTGGGGCCCGACTATCAAGCCTAATCTCAAAAAGTTCAAAAGGGTGAAGAAAAATGGGAGGCCATGGGAACATCATGAAAGTCCATTGTGCTTGATATAAAAGCACAAACAAAAAATTACAACCACGGCCAAATGAGGAGACAAGTCAATAGCCAGTTTTAGAGAGACTAATTATGCTTGCTTTGACATTAGTTTCAAAATCAAGAGAAAGTTGGCACTCACTTGAACCATCACAAGGCCTAAACTAATGATTAATTAGATTACAGTGTCATGCCCACGTCCATGCATATGGATGTTCTTTGACTAGTATTAATGATGCTTGATTAGATGATAGATCACCTCTCAATGTTTTTTTCATTTTTTTCCTAATACGCCCAATATCAAATTTATTCAAACAAAATATAGTGAAAGAGAGAGCGATGTGAGGGGGGGAGAACCATTGGATTTGTGGTGGCAGAAACCTAATTAGTATGGACAAGATTAGAGATAGATAAATACCTCCAAATCCTGGAATTATTCCAAGTTGAAGTTCAGGTAGTCCAAATTGTGCATTTGGAGTTGATATTCGAGCATGGCATGCCTATTAGTGGAAGAATAAGCAATGTTTTGTTGAAAACAATAGAAACAAAATTTCTCAATCTATACAATCGGAAACACATACCATTGCAACCTCTAATCCACCACCTAATGCAAGTCCATCAATGGCAGCTACTGAAGGTTTCCTGGCAGCTGAAAAGCAAAATGAATATTTAACGTTGTACAATACAAAATGACAAAGAGGAGCTCCAATTAAAAAAAAAAAGAAAAGAAAAGAAAAGAAAAAGAAAACAAAGGTACCTTCTAAAGTGTCAGTGATGATTTCTATGGAATCAAACCACGCTTTGGACGCACTATGGGGAGCAAAAAGAGTGTGAGAATGCGTGAGAAGGGCTGCTAAGGCATTTGCAATTTACCATAACAGAAGCACCAAAAAGAAATATTTTAAGTACCACTGCCCTCTTGAATTCCACCAAATGCAGAAATATCAAAGCCACCAGAAAATCTGCCCTTAGCACCTGGTATGGTAACAAAAGATTCAGCTGTGATGTTGTAGTTATAAATCAGCTGGACGAGATTTTTCTTTTCAATCCCAACATGGGCCTTCTATTTGTTTTTTCATTTTCTACTACTTCAATTCTGTTCTTGTGTCACTGCTTAAAAGTTCACGTATTCACACATTTCAATTAAATTATATAAATAAGGATAATGATCTGGTTGAGGCTTATCTATGACTAGACCATGTATGAATGAGGAATCTCCAAGCCCCAAAACTCTGTTTATTTCAAATTCAGATATTTTTGCAATACCTGTGACAACAATCGCCTTGACATCATCTCTCCGTAAAGCTTGTTCATAATTTTCCTCAAGGCTATTCAACACTGAAGGGAGACAGAGAGTCAGCCAAACCAGCAACAAAATGTAATCTACTGGAAATTTAGAACAAGGGAGTAACAGCATTTAGATAGTAATGGAGGAAAGAAAACAAAGTAAAATGTGCTTCACTGTACTTTTGCCATGAACAGGTAGTAGAAATTAACTCCAACACACATCTAATTCTTGTTCCTTCACATGCAACCACCTCATTCTTAAGAAAATTAATTACAATGGGCAAACAACAATGCTACAGCCAAGAGGATAAAAACATGGGTACAAAATAGGAATTGATGAAATCACTTCACAATCTATAAGCAAATGGTCTCTTCTTCACATAACTTACTTTCTTTTGATCAAACTGAAGCTGACAACCACCAAAGCTTCCATTACCAATAGGTGGCTAGTGGCTACAAAAGCATACATAATCATAAATGAATTTTTCCTTCCGTGACTTAAACTACACTATTTTTCTTTTATTGAGTACCAAAAATACTTCAACACAGTTCTTGCTGCATTCCATTTCCTTCCCACCTATTGCTACCCCTTTTTATGCAAAAACTCAACATCTTTATATGCATGTAATGGCTCAATAAACCATTGGCCAAGCGCAACTGCGAAGGGTTTTGCCTATTGGCCAACGAAGTTGAACCCTACCTAGAAGATTTGGGTGCAAACCCCGGACCTAGAAAAATTATCTCTGTATGTACTGTGGCTGAATATGACTGTGAATTCAACTTATTCGTGCATAAAGCCCTGGCTTGCGACTTTCGTGTCGCAGATAGTGGGACTCAATCTTTTTTTCTTTTCTTTTTTTTTTTGATTAAAAAGTAGATGAATTCTTCCAAACTTTCTGGTCGGTTTACGAATCAATCAAAAGAGACTAACAAACTACAACAAAGCAAGCGCATTCCGCCGGTCGGATTGACTAAACCAATGCAACAATCAAGAAGGCGAACGATAAGGCATGAGTTCCCAAACGGTAGTAAGCTTAAGTGTTTAGCGCAGATGTGAGCTTTCCCCTCATCTTACTTCCCGCCACCAGGAGTGATTGATACCAACCAGAAAGCAAGACCCCAAAAAAAAAAAAATTGAAAATGAAGATCCTCGTCTCAATAGACTCTAAAGCCCCATTTGTTATCTTATGGAAAAGGGATCCCCCTTTCAAGTGGAGGTATACAATATTCATTATATTATTATACAAGGTCAAATATGCTATATTACTATTATTCAATTCAATAACACCAGCCTCATTTTATTATGAGTTATCAAGAAATTCACGCGTTATTTCTCATCCCCAAAATCATCGCGTCGGAGATTGTATGTGTAGGGACCTGAACCTGGATGTTATAAGGTAGAGTTGCTTCACTCTAAACATGCTTTACCGGCTTAATTCAGGGTTAATTCAATCAAAGCATAACAGTCCAAGAGCGCTGGTTTCTCTACAGAGCTAACCACCGATTGCTCAGTGATCCCAAATAGCGAAAATTCACAGCAATTTCCTAAAAAGAGAAGATCATAGGATTCACCAAAACCATATTAAGCCGAAAATTTTCAAGACAGGTCGAAACAAGTATGATGGGGGATAAGACAGTATCACTAAACCGGCAGATCATGAACAAGAAATGGAGTTGAAAAGAAATACCGTCAAAGGAGAGGGAATTGACAGGAGGGTTGATGATTGTGATGACAGCAACACCATCAGCTCCAACTTCCAAGACCGTTCGTCCCTTGGTCCTGCCGCTCATTTTCTCTAGCGATTAGCTGATTCAATTGCTGACCAGAAGTCTTGAATGTCCGTTGAGGAGCAGCAGAAGGGATGATTGCTGGAACAAGAGAGAAAGAGGATCGTTTTAATTCTGAATCAGGAGGAGGCGGTTACGTAAACGCCAGTGAGCGACGACGTTGGCAACATCTAGAAGGAAATTGAGATGAGATCGTAAGATTTTTCTTTTTCCCCCATAAAAGTTGAGACGGAAAAGGTTATAATAAATGATGAAATGAGAGCTTTCACCTGTCAGTGTGCATCTCCAACTGGATGTGAGCGATGTTCAGTCTAAACTATACCCGCGCTTCACACAGCGTGGGGATGTTCCTTGTTCCTCCCAAATCATTAATAATTTGGTTTATTGAGAAATGCATTTTAATAATCTGTTCTTATTTCTTAATATGGTATTAATTATTTAACAAAAGTACACCTTCAATAAAATAATTAATTATCTTTAAATTAATATTATTTTTTCATGTATAATCCTATTTAATATGATGTTTTATTTTAAAATAAATATAAAATAATTTATTAATTAGTTACACTTTTGAAAAGAGATTAGTTATTTTTTTACAATCAATGAAAAGAGTGTATTTTTCTAATATTATTTATATTTGATAAATTTGTGGGTGGAGGGGGTACCTCAAGTCTCCATGATCCATCTAAAAAATTGTGTTATTTTTCTTAAAAAATTTATTTTTATAATAGAATTTTTATTTAATTTTTTGTATTTGCTCTCTACTATCATTAAGGTTAAAATTAATTTATATTTTCTTTGTTAAAAAATATAAGGTATTTTTAACTAAATCTCACTCTAATAAAAAAGTTATTTATTTTTAAGCTAACATCGCTTTTTTATATTTATCCCTATTTGATAGGGCATTTGACCTAAAACAAATATAAAATGATATATTTATTAGGGGTACTTTAAATAAAAACAATGGTTACACCTTAAAATACTAAAAATACATTACATTTTTAACATCAAACTATTAAAAAAATACCTTATATTTTTTAACAAAAAGAGTATTTAATACTATCTCAATGTCATGTTTTTATTAATTGAAACATGGATGATGTGATGCATTAGATCTATCCAATAATTTCTTCATGTATTTAAACTTGTTAATTCTTGAGAGAAAATATAATGAAAATTTGAAAATGTTTCATTTGAATATAGGTAAAATCAAAATTTTATCATATTTTTAACAAGGTTATTGAAATTGAATTGGACTAACCGATTTAACTAAAAACTGGCCAGATAGCCAATTCAAAAATAATACAAAATTAGGAGAAGAGGAAATCACCCTCCAAGTGCTTGAACCAGAGGTGAGTTGAACTAAATCAAAGAATCAATGGTTCCCTTTTATTTTTTTTCTTGCCCAGTTTGCAAAACGACATCGTTTTGCTTTTAAAAAAAGAAAGAAAGAGAGAAAGAAATCATTCTGACATAGACAAACAGGATCCTGAGTAATTTCATAAACCACTCACTCTTTGCTCTGCGAGTTGCGGCGAAACCCCAGGAGCTCTCATATTGTTCATGTTCATCTCCTCTATTCCTCAATCTTATCGTCTTCCTCAATCAAGCATTTGTCTCTATCCTTCAACCTCTCCTCTGTTGGTTAATCTCTTCAACATCTTCATGCTTGACTACCCGTGACTTTGTGAGTCGCAACCATGTTCTAGTTTGAGTTTCGAGACGAGCCTGGTCTTTTTCATGTTGTTTGAGTTTCTTGATTTCTTCCACTTCTAATCTTTCTCGTTCTAAACTTCTGGCTTTTGCATCTTGTCGGCCATCTTCAATCTTCATTAACAGGTAAAAGCTTCTAAACCTCATTATTATTATCTATTATTTTGCGATCTTGGGTGTTGAATGATGATTTTGATTCTATAAAGTTTGATTAAGCTTGGTCTTTTTTATTGATATAGAACCTCTTACTCTTATTTTTGACCTCAGTGTGTGAGTTAATAATCATAGTCCTTTCGTTGGTACTCCTTCTAATTGTGTGTGACTGTAGATGACTTTGAAATTTGACTATAGAAGTTTATCACTTTCCTTTGTTGTTTCATTTGTATCATTAGTGTCAACTATGAGCATGTACTTGGATTTTTACAACTTTGAAGTTTGAAGTATGGTGGTATTATTACTTTAAGTTTTCTTTAATCACTTTTCCTATAATTTTTAATTTCTAATATACAATATTTAAATATATTATTTTAATTTTAATTATAAACAATCTTGTCCTGATTCAACCTCTGAATCATGAATCAATATTTTGACTAATTCAATACCCATCTGATTCTAATAACATTGATTTTTAGATAAGACTAATAATTTAATTACATGTCTTTAATTTTATTGAGGCAATTAAATGTGTTTTATAATAAGATTTGAAAGAAGTGAATTTTATGAATAAAAAAATAAATTTAGACATGAACTGCTTTCGTAATCTCTGTAAATTTGGCAATTAAGGACAATATCGAGCAACGAAAGGTGTATAATCCAAGGTAGAAAAATTGGGCTAAAATTGTATTAGTTATCTATCTCCTTGTTTGCATGCTACTTCTTATGAGATGTTTAAAAATTTTCAAGGTGAAATTAATATTTTTTTTTTATATCCCTCCATATGCTGAAAATTTTAAAATATTATCATTAATCCATTACCCATTCATATTAGTTATAACTTTTTTACATTTTTATTTAATGTGATTATATGTCTTAAAATTCAAGTTTAAAATATTAAAATAAGTTGATTTAACTTGCTGATCAATTGAACCAAATGCCAATTGGTTTCAAAAAATATTTTTAATTGACAGTGTAATTAATAAAGATTTTTAATTAAGATATCCTGTTAAATAAGAGCAAACATTAGAAGGTTATATAATTTTAAAAATAATTAACTATTTTATTAAAAAATAATTCAATTAAAAATAATTCATAACATTGAACTAGGAAATATTATCCAATCTATTTAAACATAGTGAAGAGTGTGATTTGATTCATCATTATAGTTTCATTTCCGGGTAATATTTTTGCGGAGATTCGTTCAAACATGTTTTTATTCAAATAAGATTAGATAAATGACTAAATGTCTTGTCCGCGATTGATTCCCCATTGTTTTGTCTGTTGTCTGGCATCCAGGCGTGCGAAAATGAAATGTAATTGTAAACAACGTGATGAAATTTCTGGTAAAAAAAAAAACAAACAGAGAGAGAGAGACACAGAGAAAGAAGTAATGAAACAAAGGGATGATGACACTTAAAGCAAAAGGCCGAGTCTGACGCGCTCACGGTGTGCATTGGATCCTGACCCCTTTCTACCTCGATTTCGACGACTTATAGCTATCGTGTTCCAATAACGCCTGGCCACGTCTGATTGTCTGAAGGCCTTCCTGCCAAATGCTTCCCTCACGTTCTCAGTAGCGACTTATATTAACGCGCTTTTAGTTACGTTTTCTGTGATTCGTGGCATCATATCAGTGGTTAAGAGCCAGCGCACCTGCAAAACGAGCGCGGACTTGATCCGAAATAAGAAGAATGGGACATTTAGCTTAGATAGGGCTGCAATCTGCAAACTGCAATATCGCCATTTTCGAGGTTACACGCAACCCCATGTCGACTTTTTTTTAATACTTTTGGGCAAAGCTCATTGGGCCATCCAAAGTTAGGCCCAAAATAAAGGCCCATCTTAATGGACCTCTCTAAGTGATGCCTTGTTTTTATTACCCAAAGAATCCCGAATGTTACGCACTCACACTGCTTGTGTTCTCCCTGGTCATCTTTGCACGCTGCTTGTTTGATTTACGTGGTTATTCTTTAATATCAAATAATGATGAGTGAATAAGAAAAGTTGGTTCAGTTAAAAAAAAATTTAACCATCACCTTGAGATTAAATACTGCTTCTGATATAAGGACCTTGTTAGTGAAATATCTATAAATATCTTTGTACGTATTTTTTAAATTTGAAGGACTACCTTGATTTTGATAAGCTTTTGAAATTTAACTCGTCTAATTTTTTTTTACAAAAAAAGTTATTCTTTACTCAATAAAAAATTGGTTGACATTCCAAATTGTTCTGAATAACCATAAAAGTAAAAATATAATTATAAGAAATCTTAAAACTTGGTTAAAATTAAAATAAATATGTACTTGAATAAGAACTGAAAAGACCGTAGATAAAGTATGATACAAAATAGAAATGGTCATTTGACCAATTAACTGTCAATCATGAAACAAAAACGGTGAAAATTTCTAAAATTAAAAATAGTTCATATAAGCACTTATACCATTTAGATTTTATACTCAGCAAATGGAAGAATCAGGTTGATAAATAATCACAAGTAAATTAATGATGACAATGATCATGTTTAAAATAAAAATAGAGGACAATATATGTTAAGCATTACTGTTATTCTCAATTAACATGTAATTATTCCTTCACACTTCATTACCTTGCAAGTCTCATTGGAATATAACATAATACCCAAATCCCGGCGAGTTTTCTCACTTTATTTTCAATCAATTTCAACAACGTTGCAAGCAAAAAGTGAACTAACAAGCTGCAATTGCTTCTAGTCGCCAAAAACAATGTGGAAGGCAATCATAAAGTAGGAGCACTGATAGCGCAATAATCATTGGATGGAAAAGAAAAAAGTAAAAAAAAAAAATGCATATAATCTAAGCCAAAGGTATTCTCTTATATTCTTTTTAGGGAATATGTTCTCAATGAACCAAACTGACACCTTTCTTTTTGTTATAAAATAATAAAAGAATATCTCTCTTTGGATTTGTCCTAACTAAAATAATGTTAATCGTTTCGATTTTTCAAATGTTGAATTATATATTCAAATTAAAAACGTATACCAATAACATTGGTTACTCATCTATTTATTCACAAGTCTTGAGTTTGACACGCCGAGGATAATAAACCTTTGAAAGAACCACAACGTAGTTATATTGTAACTTTAATTATAGTTTTATTTTTTTAAGTTGTCAATAAATCCTATGATGTTTAATTGTGCCGTGGAGAGTGGAGACTTATATGCAATAAGAAAAATGAAAAAAATATCTCAAAACATGCAAATAATAATTAAATATCACAATATGTGATCATTGTTATTAGTTTCTAATGACTGGTTTCACATTATGATTTTTGATGAAATGACATATTTGCCCTCAACGACTGTTATATGTTAGAAAATAACTATTTTATTTGGACTATTAACTAAAACAAAATTGAAAATGATTACTTTATTTCTGCAAATTTTGTTTTCCAATCAAGTGCAAATACTAAAAATCAATGACCATTATATCAAGGAATAGCTATTTTGATTGGGCTATTGATAAAATAAAATAAACCAGGGCTACTTTCTTCCTGAAATTTTATAATTTACAAAAACAAAAACTAGAAAATGATTGTTACCTTTCTAAAACTGATTATTTCTTTTTTGAGAATAACTACTTTAACTACATTTGATTGGCAAACAAATTTGTAGAAATAAAATAATCTTTTTTATTCTATTTTAATCAATAAATCAGTTAAAATAGTCATTTTTAAGTGTATAAATTATAATAGTCATTAAAGGTAAATACATCATTTCATTGAAAAATTATGAGAGAATTACAGTTAAGTCAATATATCTTATAGTAATTAATTCTCTTGTGTGGGATTTTAATATCATTCTCTCAAAAATTAAAATACAAAACTAAACAATAATTGTCACATTTTGCCATACTTAGTTGTTATTTGCATATATATATATTTTGAACTCATTTTTTGTCGTTTCTCCTATATTTGCAATTTTCTTTAAATTCTTTTAAGATTAAAACATTTTTTGTCAAAAAAATTGCCCTGGCCACCAATGTATTGAAAATAAGTTTATTATCTACTCATATACCCAGAGATTAGGATGGTTGCACATAATCTATCTTTAATAAATAAATAAATAGAATAAACAACATATTATTATTATGAACATAATAGTAAGCCATGCCAAATCAATTCTGCATCTCCGACTGGTTTCCAAAATACAAATCAAAGGAGAAATTTGCAGTGGGAATTGAAGAGGCCAACAAGAAAAAGCAATATATTCGAGTGTGTTGCACAAGTATCCATTTATCTTTATGTGCAGAATCACTGGAAATCAAATTATTCGCTCTGGAACTTTCCGTAAGCAGTACAATCAAAGAAACTCACCCGTTTCATCCTTCCTCATCCCGTCGCATCAAATCACGCTAATAATAAAACGAGGCTGAGGCTGCCTTCCCCCTTCATTTCTTCACTTAAAAAACGAGAAGGGTAAAATTAAAGTGCCGAGAGAGACAGAGATGAACGACGACACGAAGAAGAGCATTGCTGGACCTCTTATGGCCAAACCCAACTCCGAAGATCGGAAGCTGTCATCGGCGGCGGCGGCGGCACCCACCCCGACCAAGAAAGTCATCATTAAGAGTGCTGATATGTTGTCCGACATGCAGAAAGAGGCTGTAGATATCGCCGTCAATGTTAGTTCTTTTTCCAATTCTTTCAGTCTTTCCTACATTTGCTTCTTGTGCAATTTCTTCTGGGGCTTTTTGCTGGGCTTGCTTGTTTTAGCTATGTGGGGTTCAAGATTCCTGCTTTTTTCGGGTGAATTAGGCATTTGAGAAGCACAACATAGAGAAAGATGTTGCGGAGCATATAAAGAAGGAGTTCGATAGGAGGCATGGACCCACTTGGCATTGCATCGTCGGTCGTAATTTCGGTACCCTTCTTCTGTACTTTTTCAAGATTTTCCTTCTTGGACCTGATGTTTTATCACATTCACCTTGCCAAAAATGGAGTAGATCTAAGCTTAAAGTCGGTCGTCATTTTTATCCTTATTTGTTCTGTGCTGCAAATTTCATTGCTGTTCTTAAGGATTACGAGTTAGAAGTAATGCTAACACTTAGGTTTCCCTCTTTTCTCCATTTCCCTGCTCTATGTATATTGTTTTAGGCGACTTCATCCTGCTTATTTGGTCGCGCGTTTTCTTTCAATCTCTTCCTCCTCCCCAAAACAAAAGCCTAGTTGAAATGCTGTAAAAACTAGAAGTATGTGGCTTAGTTTGACTATTTGCGTACTCATCAACTTACGCTCTGTGCTGATAGACAATAGGAGAACCACAATTGCTATCTGGTTTCATCTTCATCATGAAGCCAACCGGTTTAATTGGACCTATAGATCTGCAGTTAATGTTCCTTGTCCTTCTCTTTTAGCACGCAGGTCTCGTTTTGCAACTGCTAGCAAATGAGGAAACAGATAACATTACATCTTCTGCAATGTCTGACTAACCTTTAATGGCGTATACAAGGCAAATACTGCCTGCGATAGAAAAGCAGCACTAGATATTGGTATTCTGTCCCCATGTCCTATGCTTGGAGGCTCATTGGGCAAAGAAAATGTGAAGTTGACATATGAATACTTGATAGCCTATAGAATGGGAGGACATTGGACTCATTAGTTAAGCCTTCTGCTTGACTTATTTTTCAATTCATAATGATGAGAATCTACCTTTAGACCAGTGTCTGTCTTTGTGGCATTTTAAAATTTAGAGGAAATTGTGCCTACTCACTCTGATCTTTGGCTCCAATTGTAATCTGTTACCTAATCTATGAAATTCCTGCAACTGGACATGAGTTATAGATTTAGCTACATGATTGCAAAGGAATTTCTTTTTTCTAGGCACTATACATGTAGAAATGCAGTACCGTGTTGGCAAGTTAGCTACTGGTAAGAATATTAAGATAAACAGGAAGAGTATTTTAGCAATTTTCTTCAGCTTAAAATTTAAAAGATAGGGGGATTATTGCAATGGAGCCAAGAAATCAGGGGGCTGATTACAGTTGAAGTAAAATATTTCCTTTAAAGTTAAAAATCTATTGTTTGTAACTTCAAGATTATGTTTTTTAGTTTTTACTTCATTATAATATGGATCAAGTGCATTAGGAATATACAGGAACATTGAAGTATGACATAGCTTCAAAATGATTAGTTAGTTTGTGCTCCCTCGATCATCAGTTGTCCTAGCTTGTTCGCTTTACTAAATTTCATTAATCAAACTAATCCAAGTATAACAAAGCATTTAAAACTCTTTTAAACTTGCAAGCTTGGACAAGTTTGTATATTGATGTATTGTAATACCTGTAAGAGTAAATTCTTCTAGTTGTAAGAGTAAGAAGTGTCTAGTGTTCATCAACATGCTTTTAATGGTTTGTGATAAGGGCAATTCTATATCTCAATGTCATTTAAGACATTAACAAGCTAACATGGAATTTTTGTAAGGGGATGTCTTCTTGATTTAGGAGTAAAGAAATATTATGCATTATTCATTCTTTATAGTAATATATTTTTATAATATATTTTTAAACATTAAGCTATGGTTTGCATTTCAGTGTATCTGTTTGATTTTTAAGAACTCAAGTTTATGCCTTCTTATCCCCCTATGGTCCAAGTAAGAAAGCCTTAAATATGTTACCTTTTGATGCCATTCCAAGTAGCCCTTAAGGGGTTCTTTAGTGTACGTTTTTCTTTAATTTCCCTGGAAATCTCATCTGGGAAACTAATTAGACCATGTTTTGCACAAGTTTTCGAATGTTTTCCTGGATTCTTGATTCTACTCAATATTTAGTTAGTTACTCTCAAAATTCTGTCATCCTGAATAGAAGGCCAGGATTTATGATTTTCTACACTACTCATTGCTTTGGTACAACTGAACTCAGGCACAACGGATTTTCTATTCTTTCTCACTTCAACACAGCTCAGGCAACTTCCTTAGCGTATAGACAATTAGCAAAGAACAGAAAATTATTTTTGGAGAACTTTAACAATACTATCTACTCTTACCAAATGCTTCATCTTAATCAGATCTGGATTCAACTAGCAGTTCTCTCTCTCTCTCTCTCTCTCTCTCTCTCTCTCTCTCTCTCTCACACACGCACGCACACACACACGCACACAACACGCACACAAAATTTGAACATGATTTCAAGGTTCCTCTCTATGTATGGCTGTAATTCTGTTTGGCTAATGAGAAAGCAGCAGGGGAAATGATCCAGTGGTATATTTTTAATTTGGGAGTGATGTGCACGCAAGTAGAAGGAGAATGCTCCCCAAAAAGCTAGCAGTTTAGGCGGGAAAGTCAATCCTCTTTATATGTACCCCGTTGAGCACTTTATCCTAAATGCAGGACTAGATATCTCATATTACTCTGGTTTCCATCAAAGAGTGAACAAAGCAGATACAGATATTTTGGTTTTTGACACAGTTTTACTTTGATAAATTCACTTGAATTTTCGTCATACACCAAGTAAACTGGGACAATCAATACCTTGGTTTGGATTTCCTTGGTGATCAATTCTGCATCAACTAGGAAATTACAAATCTTCATACCAGAAACCATCTAAAGAAGTAGTCTAGAAGTTTTACTATAATCAGATTATATGTAAGACACAAATTTTATATGGAGCTAAATGAGAATTGAACGAATAGAAGATTAGTACAAGCAAAATTAAAATTGAGTTACAGGGTTTTATGCATTTCGTGCTCATCTTGTTGGGTTGTAGCAGTATAGTGACCAAAATAATCTTGGGAATGAAAGTGAAAGAAAAACTTCAGAATATGACTTTGTAACCTAGTGGCATGTAAGTTCTCCTATAAGTGGGAGGTTGCGGGGTTGGTCCTGCTAGTATAACCTCAGATAGATAGTGCCTGCCTCTGATTTAAAAAAAAAAAAAAAAAGCCACTAAACCTGCTTTTATTGAATCGATATGATTTAGGAAATCAGTTTTTCTTCAGGTTTTCCGGTTAAAGAAATGAAGTCTGTATCACATACATGGTTCTGGCATGTCAAAAAGCTATGCAACTAGTTGTATTCACTGCAAGACCTGGAATATCTCTTGGCCTTGTTCTTTTTTAAATACATAGGTGACAAATGATGTTTCGAGTAGATAGGAGTTGTCAATGTTTTAGTAAATTAGCCATCAGGGCATTCAGGAGAAATGCCAGATGGGGCTGATTGATCTCTTCCCCATATTTTCTAATTTATGATGGTGGCATTATTGATCCTGAATACACTTCATCCGGAATATTTGGCTGGTAGGGATAATCAATTTAGTGTTTGATGACTCACAGAGTAATACACCTCATGCATCCTTTATTCAAAGAACAGTCATCTTACTAAGGTGCCGATTCACAGATACATTTTTCTGGCGCATAATTTTATTCGGTGATGCTTTACTTGGTTGTATGGGGAGTTTCTTTTTTCCTGGCATCGTCTCTGATAGTCTGATCTCTGGTCTTAGGACTTCCATCAGTATTTTGGCTTGGCACAAACGAACCAATGCCAACACATTCCGAAAAGAGCATTGGCTATTTGGTTTGTTGAAGCCCAAAAGGAACTAGGACAATTGCTTTGTCGTGCTTGCTGCTTAACTATATTGTTCCTGTTACTTTTGCAATGTTGTAAATGGAAAACCCATGTAAATGCATTCCACTATTCTTGCAGGTTCGTATGTGACTCACGAAACAAACCACTTCGTTTATTTCTATTTGGATCAGAAAGCAGTTTTACTATTTAAATCGGGCTAGCTGTATTATAAGGGTGATAATGATGCACAGGAATTTTCTTGTGATTAAGCTGCTATATTCGGCTCCTGTATGTATGGAATTCACTGGCACGCAAACTCGTTTCTGGACTTTTTTGTGCTTGTATATCTTCCATGTAAACTGAATCTGATGTCTGGCTTTGAATTTAGTTCTCAATTCTAGTGCTCCCATTTATCACCCATTCATCATATTCTCTACTGTTCCATGTGTAACTTGTTTGGTGGGCATTTTCTATATATATTTTTTTGTCAAGTTTTTCAATGAACTCACGAGTAAGGAGAAACATTTTTTGAGTTCAGAATATGTTGAGATATAAAAATTAAAAAGAAAAATGTGGTCCCTATGCTTTTACCGTATTTTGGTATCAATTCTTATATTTATTTTTGGTTGTTCCTAGTCCCTTAAATTTATCTATGTACAACATTAGTTCTTGTCACCATTAACAGTGAAATTTGTTGATTTGTATATATCTTTATTTTATGTTGTAGACAAATGAAATTTAAAGCACTTGAAGTAATGACGAAAATATAGGGATTAATATTAAAATATGTTAAAAGTATATGGATTAATAATTGTATTTTCTGAAATTGAGGAGTGTATAGTGAGTCCTTGTGGTAGATTTTTCTTAAGATTTTTATTTTTGGGGGAAAAACTGAAGATTGCTGGGATGTGATTCCGCCATGCTTGATTGTGCGTTGTCTTGTGATTGGTTTATTTTTAATTAGAAGAGAAAAGAATGGATCTTCCAGTTTGTAGGCTTTATGTAGGATTTAGGAGTTCTTGAGTGTCAATCCTTTTTCAGCTGCTTCACCAGCCCTAGCATGCTCTACCGTTAGGGTTAGGGCAGGGGGGTGGGGCGCTTATTTTTGTCCCTCTTCATCCCACTTGTCTCTTGGCATCTCTTAAAAATCCACATTATTTGCTTCTTTAATTAACTACAGTCTTTTACATGATATTCATTGTACGTATTTACAACCCTGTATTATTGCTATCATTAAGGTCAACGAATCAACTTTTACAATGCTACATGCCAGGGCTTACAGAGATTTACAATTGGACCCTTGATCAAACTTTAATTAGGGAATACCCATTTCTATTTGACACTACATTTTCACTTGAAATTTTAATATGCTAGATTTATGAACTTTTTCAAGTTTTTCTATGAATATATTTTTCTTTTAGCCTAATTTTATTGATCGAAGTTGGTCAAAAAAATTATTTTTATTAAATTATTCAAATATAAATGGACTTAAAACGAGACAGGAAGTCTTACATTAAAAAAAAGGATTAATGATTAATATGTAATGAAAAAGAAAAACTCAAACTTGAGTTTCAATGTTATGAGGTAAGATGTCAGGGGTTTTCGCTACTTTTCATTCATTTGTCCCCCCCCCCCCCCCAAAAAAAAATTTTGGGTGGTTGTTTCTCATTCTTTGTAAGTAATATATCATTTTCTTTTGCTTAGTTGGCGTGCAAGCCCAAACAAACATGTGTGATGTGCCAAGTCTTTTCTCATTAGCCTTACTGTCATTGATCATTTTTAAATGTATAAAAACCAAACGAAATCATGTGCGGTCCTAATTAATTTTAAGCATGTCAACTTTATAATATGCTCGATCACGCCAGATGAAGCGTGTCAAGGACATTACGTCCCGTCACAATCTCATGATTTTCGTGATGACCATTCACAATGGCAATACTACAGGATTATTATAGAAGTTACAATGAAAGAAAAAGGAGAAAATAGTGAAATATATTTATTCTTTAATTTTTAATTATTGTACTTGAAGCTGCCAGGATTTTATGGAGCCTAGTATATATTTTCATATAACAGTCAATTGAAGCCAATTGGACCTCGCAACTTGTGTCATTAAATATTAGTATTCAGCATTTAAAAAAGTAGGCTTGTATTTGTTGCTAGCTCTTATCTTAAAATTTTACTTTAGAATTAGACTAATAGCTGACCATCAAATATGGTGTAGTTTAGACCCAGCTATGTTAGCCTTTGTTCTTAGTTGCCTTAAATATATTTGAATCGATATTCTGACATTCAAAAAGTCTGCTTAACGTCATTTGAATGTAAATGTTGCTTGTCTATTTATTGCACTAATTTAAAACTCCGATTGAGATAGATTTAATTGAAAGTTCATTTTGCAAACACAATTTTAAGTAGTTTTTTTTTTTCAAATGTAAGTTCAAAATCAAACTGGCAAACAGAGACTTTTGACAAATTATTGGCTTTTTGGAAATGAATTTTGGGAGAATTTCAACTGAAAACCAAGGGTGTAACTTAATTATTAGTAGATTTCCAAAAAAAAAATCTGAGATTTTAGTTTAGTTTAAGAGGATTCAAATGAAAATAATTTCAACGATGAAGAGAGTAAGATACTCTTTACTTGTTAATTTTATCTGAGATGCAGAATTATTAGTTATTAATTTTCTTACTTCACTTGTTAATTTATTAATATGAATTATAAATTATATCAGTTTGTCATACAAGCAGTGATATCAGTTGTTAATTTACTAATTTTACTTATTAATTTATAGGTATCAGTTGTAAATTACAAGACCTTCATTCACAAGCAATAACATCAATTATTAATTTACTAACATTAAGTATAATTACCAGACCTGTTAATAATTTATAATTGATGTTAGTAAATTAATAATTGATGTTGCTACTTGAGATTGAACAACTTATGTTCAAGTCTTGTATGACTATTGATAGGTCAAGTCATGTAATTTACAACTCAAATTAGTAAATTAATAAATGAAGTAAGAAAATTAACAACTAATAATTTTACATCTCAGATAAAATTAACAAATGAAAGATACTTTGGTCTTTTCATCATTGAAATTATTTTCACTTCAATCATGCTGAATTGAATTGAAATTTCAAATTTTTTTGGGAGTTACCAATAATTAAGTTACTCCCTCTATCCTTATATATAAGGTGTTTTCTAAAAGCTTATTTTATCCCTAAATATAAGAGATGGTAATGATATTTTTGAGTAATTAAATAATTTTACCCTTGCCTTAAAAAATGAAATAGATCATTAATTGTATGTTTTTCTTACCACCATCATAATATTAATTATGATATTATTAGGGGTAAAATTGAAAAATCATTGTATTTTTATATAAGTTCAATTAAATAACAAATATTTATTGGTATGCGAGATTCGATTAAAAACATCTTATATATAAGGATGTAGGAAGTATATCCCTAATTCTTAGTTAAAAATATCTCATGAATTTTTATCAAATGAATTTTCACCAAAGTAAACAAATTTTTACCAACGCAAGTGCAAAAACATGGCACAAGCAAAGCATCACTTTTACCAAAACTTAAGGTTTTAGTAAAACTGTAATGCAAACTATTAATCTTAATTTATATATTTAAAATAAATAATAGATAACAAGTTATGAATTCAAATATTTTAATGTTGTGTTTGGATGGATGAATTTAAATTTAAAATTTTATTTTTAAAATCTTATATTTCAAATTTATAAATTTTAAATATTTTGTTTGGATGATGTAAAAAATTTCAAATTATCATATTTGGATCTTGAGTAAAATTTCAAATTTTAAATTTTATATTTAAATTTAAAAGAAACTTGAAAAATGCCAACAATTTGGTGCTAGTCAAAGTCGGTGGTTTGGACGATTAACTTCCATCTGGACCAAACTTTTGGCACCTATTGGGGTTGAAAGGAAGACTTTCACCAAGATCATAAGCGATGAATGGGACTAGATGGCCATGTTCCATCGTGCTCAATTCATCAGCACCAATCGAGGCCTAATTACTAGCGTCGATTAGGACTAGAGTATAGGCAATGACTAGGACTAGATAGCCACCTTCTATTAAGACGATGAGACCAAATAGCCAGCACCAATCGGGATAAGAGTGTAGATGATGATTAGGATAGAAGTACCAACTTCCACCAACACCAGATTGCCGATGACAACCAGGATCAAAGTACAGGTGACAACTGGGATCAAATGGATGACTTTTACCGAAACTTGATCGCCGGTATTGACCGAGACAGGACTACCAATGATAATCAGGATAATATGACTATAAAATCTGCTTATTTGATCACAATTTACTATTATATCTAAGGTAATCAAGGGTCTAACCATATAAGAATTACCAAGTTTGCCAAATTATACAAATAGGAATCCCAAGTTTTTTCAATTTAAAATGCTCTTATACACTTTCAACCTTTGTAAATTAGAGTTTTAAAATCTGTGAAAACATGGGATTCCAAAATAGGAAGAAGCATTTGCAAAAGGGAACAAGAACTCATTAAATGCAAAAATGGCACATGCACCATGGCTTACTGTAGGTGCATCACGGCATGTTGCCTCTGTGCCATGCACCGTGGCGCGAGGTGTCATGCATTGTGGCGCGTTATATGAATTTTGATAGCAAACTCTGCTATCATATGATAGCACTTAGGATGAACTTTCGACGCATCTCAATTCTTCACTTGACGTTTGATTAAGGTGATTTAGGTGTTTATAGAGAGCTTTCTCCTAACTTAGTTAATGGTAGATATTTCACAATTAAATAATTTTTTCTATTAAAAGTTGGATACCCTATTCAATTCTTACTCGATTTTTTTACAAAAACTCATAACTTGAGTGTCCAAACTCCAACACATGTGCTAAAAGCCTACACCAACTCTTAGACCACACTCAATGAATCATTTAAGACTCGTGTAACACACCACATATATTTAATACATACATATCATCAATTCAACCCTTAATTACTCAATTCATAAAAACACAAAGGGGAGTCATCTTTTACATAATTTAACAAATATTCATCCAATGACAATAAAATACACTTTACCTTACTTATACTAGTATTTTATTCCTATAAATTTTACAATTACATATTAACAACTCATGGCATGAAATACACAAAATACGTTCAAGCATAATGCAAGTAGTCAAAATAATGGAAAGAAATCCTAATTGACAAATTAACAATACATATAATTAAAACTATGAGGCCTACAAGGAGGATTTATTCAAAATCCTAAGTCTTTGGTCATTTTCCTCGATTCTAATCTAATGAGTTAGACCTTGAAATATTGAAAAATCAGAGATAAGTAATGAGTACAACCACTCAATAATCAAGGTCAACCTAACCTATATAGTTACATATCAATTAAA